ACCGTGCCTACACGTAGAGACACCCGACAGAAGCCACCAGGGCAGGATTCTCATCCTTGGTAGTTCTTAATCCGGATTAAGGCCAAACGCCACCTATCCCCATTACCTGGGTTAATAACGGATTAGGATTTTCACCCGTGAAGATCTGCCTTAAGCAAGGTTAAATCGCTGGTCTTAAAAATGGGCTGAGGCAGGTGTGTGTGTGTGTGTGGGGGGGTTTCGAGAAAGATTTGTGGGGAATATGGAACCAGGTGCCTCCTTGAAATTTGGGTGGGGGCGAAATCGATATCCCCCCCCTTCCAGCCGCACCTGCCTGGGCCACGGCTAGGAGCAGAAGGCCACCCTTGGGCCTCCTTCCTCTGAGGATCGGGAGGGTCGCCGCTTAAGTTACCGAAAGGTCATGGGGCGGTTGCCGAGGTGGGATAACGGATCTTGTGAAGATGCTTCACCCCTAATCCCATGGGGCGGCGGGGGGGGGGGAAGAGGCGGCTTTTCTCTGCAATCTCATCTTTTAGGCGACTGCCTTCGACAAGTTTATTCCGAATTAAATACTGCGGAATAAAATGGGATTTACGCCCAAAGCCACAGGCCTCTCAGTTCAGAGAGACAGCTTTCTCAAGGAGTAAATAGGACATCCTGGTGGCGGGAGGGGAAGCGACCCGACCCCCTATGCTAGCTTTATTCAGCACTCCTTTCCCCTTTTGATTCTGCAACTAACATCCAACCTACATGTCTTTTGACTTTTGCTCACTGAGATCCGTGGGGCCTCCTATGTCCCGTATAAACCGCTGAGAGAGGGAGAAGGAGAGCGCTAGGCTGCGGTCCTTGGATGGAGCCGGAAGCTGAGCACCATCCTAGGCAAAAGGATCCGAAAACTCGGGGTCCCCCTTAGCGGTAGAGTTGCCTCGGGTCTTATCGGTTGGAGCCTTCTCTCCCGAATTCTGGCTTCATTCGACTCCAACCTTGAGGTAAAATTGATTTCATCCGAGCTGAGATTCAGGACCATAGAAAATAAAAGGCATGGAGATAAATGATTCCTTTCCACAAAATGAAAGAGGAAAAGATCTTATAATCCCATTGAATATCACAGAATCATGGCTTTAAAAAAAAAAAAGAATCATGGCTTCCTTTTTTTTTAAAAAAAAGGGAAGGGAAAACGTCAAATTCTAGGTTAAAGAATTCGTGCTAATATCCTGAACCAGGATCAGCCCGAGACAGAACAGGTGAAAGAACAGAAGAATGGCATCGATTTTGTTGTGGCCGGTTGCCAGGGCGGATTGACAAGAAAGAGGAAGAATTATTTTAAACTGGTGTAGATATTTCTATGCCCTGGGACGTTGTACGTTGGGACAGGATCTGTAACAGCTTTCAGGGAGAAATAGAGAACAGTCCTCCCCGGGACATGTCTACTTGGAAGCAAGCCCCATTGAGTTCAATGGGATTTGTGTTTGTGTTTACTGGGATTTACTGCCAAGTAATTATATGATTGCAGCCTAAGGATACCAAGTGGTGCGCACTTGCTTCGGAACAAACCCCACGTTACTCAGGTTTCTTTCTCCAATTCAAGGTGGTGGTAAAAATTAGGTCTTGGACTATACCACTCCGGGCTGCAAAAGGGGGTCCACTGCAAAATATAAAGAAACTGCGGCAGACCACTCTGTGCAGAAAGAAGGGTTTCTCTCACGTTGCCTTCTCCCTCTATGTTAAATGCAAGGAGGAGACTTCCTTCTATTTTTTAAATAAGAGAATATTAGATTAGGCATGTGACACCCCCCACCCAGCAGTCTAATATGGTACGGTCCAGACCGCAAGATTACCCACACCCGCCGTTTTTTGGAACTGGGCTCTTGTGAGGCTTCCTTTGCCTAAGTCTTTAAGACCGGGTGATGCACCCTCATGAAAAAAAAATAGAGAGCTCTAATCCGACGGTTCAGCTGGCTCCTTACAGCTTCCGGAGTGTCGGTATGTGGAGCGGGGAGGGGCAGGCAGACTGGAGTTGGGGTCCCGCAACAGCTGGAAGGCGGCAGGTTCCTCACCCCTGTTGAACTGGATTTCATGAAGTACACCCCAGTTATTCAGCGATGGGAGATCTGCATTCCCAGCAGATGTGGTTATTCCTTTCTGTTTTTCTGCTGTAGAAATGGACGTCATCTTAACAGGTGTGGCTCCTAGATGAAAGAGAAAAGTAGGAGCCACCCTCAGAAGGTCGCAGGGGCTACCTCTATCAGATGATCTGTTCAAATTGCCTGTAATTTCCTCCCTGGGCTATTGCCTCCATCCATCTACACTGTTTGTTTTCATTCCCCAGAGCAGAGGGCAATCCTAATACAGAGGAGAGATAAAAATGAGTTTTTCCACTCACAGATGCTTAAGCAGTCCGAACCAATATACTACTGGGGTAAAGATTCTGACAACTCAGCTTGGATTCCTTAAATATACAGTACTACATAAGTGACTCAGGCCCTGGTCAGCTGTTATTTAAAGCTGCAGCCGTAAGAGTGTTTGCTTGGAAGTAAGTCCAGCTGGGCCCCCATAGGGCTTCTTTCTAAGGGACATTTAAATTCACACTCAGTAAATTCATTGATGAGAATATTTCAAGCCATGATGACAGCAAGAGGGGGACAGAGAAGAAACAGTGGTTTCTGAGCATAATGCATGCACATAGTGAATGGCACTGCAACACACCTGTCTGCGCATTTCACTTGCATGTGTGCACTCATGCTTTGGGGCTCCATATGATATTCAATTTACAGTAGTCTAAAAGCCTCCAGGGAGTGAGAGGAAAATCCTCAGAACCTACAATTTGGAAACAGTAATGTAGAACACAAGAGACACGATGAATGCCAGTAGAAACAAAGAAATCAAAAAGCTTGAAAAGGAAGAAGGCAGAAACCCTAGATGAAAAGAGACACAGTACCTAAGAATATACTGGGTCTTTAGGGGTACTCTTCCTGTTCTCACTGTGCTAAGAATTTTGCATGACTTATCAGGAAAATCATCCCCATATTCAAGAACATACAAGATACCTTTGGTGTCTCAGTGGCCAATCTTTTGCTCCATTAAACCCTTCACAAACACACCGAGCTGGAAATGGCTAAAAGACCATTGCCAGTTTTGACATATAGGTATCCTGGGGTGCTAAATGATGGGCAGGGTGGAGTGTTGAGAAAGATGAATGGCTACTCTTGGAGATTTCCAGCAGCTGCAACTCACCTTTTTGGTTTGTTTGTTTTTTTATGGAGGGACAAAGGGAAGGTTGAGGGCAGTGAAAACCTTTTGGGGGACTGCATGTATGTCTTACTTTGCCCACCCTAATCTAAAATGATTTCATCTATCTTGGAAACACTGGTAAACATGATGCACTGTAGGCAATAGCAGCGGGATCGGCATGGAGTAGTTTAGAAAAGCGGGATAGGAGAGAGAAGTAGCTACTGGTTGTTGTGGGGTTTTTGGGCTCTTTGGCCGTGTTCTGAAGGTTGTTCTTCCTAATGTTTCGCCAGTCTCTGTGGCCGGCATCTTCAGAGGACAGCAACCTCTGAAGTAGCTACCTTTGATTAACTCTGGAAGGGTTTCAGAAGAGCTAAGTGCTCATTTCGCTTTGCACATTGTTATCACGTTTTCTCCCATACCAAGTAACATACAATTTTTGCATTTCTTGAATTTTGAACTGTACAAATGTCTTTTTGGAACGCCATCTCTCTCTCTTTCTTCTTCCTGGATATACACTCTTCATGTTAAAACATATTTTATTTTATTTTTTTAAAAAACAAGTCTGTTTACATTGAAATAAATAAATAAATTCTTAGAATATGATATCCCTGTTGCCTGTTAAATAAGAGGAAAACTCAGTTCGAAACCACATACTTTTCTGATAGTAAGTACTGTAAAAGTATGTTGGTCCTTATTTTCACAGTCAACATGCACAGAATGGGGCACGGATGCTGCTAATTTGTCACGTGTCTTAGAAGACCTTACAGATGTTTCTGTCTTTCTAAGACACTAAATAAATTAATACAAAGCTTGAGGAAATTAAGTCTGTGTATTATGGATGGTTTGCTTGCCATTTTTCTAAGCAACCAAGGAAATATATCCAGATGCTTTGCACTTTTCTCCAGTCCAAATCCTTTAATATGTGAAAGCATCATTTCTTTGTCAATTTAATAAGAGTCTTCCTTCCCCCACTGATATTAATATAAATGGAAATTCCAGTTCCTGTGCCGAGGTGTGTATGTATCTTCTGTGTGTCTGTAGAGAAGTATACGTTCTCATATCCAGTAAATCTTAATAGTGATTCCCTCCCCCTCCCCTTTTGTATTCCTAGTCAGTAGAAGATGCCAATAACAGCGGCATGAACTTGCTGGACCAGTCTGTCATCAAGAAAGGTATGGCAAACATTTCAATAATGTGTGTGTGTATATGCATGTTTCAACACTGGGGTCAATTTACATAGATTTTCTAGAGAATAAGTTTTACTTGTTTCAAAAGGCCTTAGTCCCAAGTTAACCTAGAACCTGAAACTGACCATTGGGCAGTCCATTTCAGAACCCAAGCATGTGGTAGAAAATAAGGTGGCAAACACAGCAAAGACTCGTAGCAGTTCAAAGAGAGAGGAAAACTCACCCACAAAAAAAGAGGGTCTGGAAAAAAATTTTCTGCTTTTGTTTGGTTCAGTTGGGTTGTGATAACCAAAACTGGCTGCCTATAGAACTTTAAGCTGTGATGCTAAGAAATATGTGCTTCCTCAACCTACTGAGAGGCAGAATGTCTTTGGAGGCAATGGGGCCTATTCCCAAAATTCATCTGTGTAGGATGGTAGCTTGGGGCTGTCCTTCTCTGCACATTAATGTGGGAACAAAGCCCATTATCATCAGAAGTTTCATTTCCAGGAAGTATCTGGCTCTTCTTTGACTATGTTCTTGAAATTTGTAGAACTCCTTTTCAAAGAAAGGTTTAGAATTGGGATGCTCAAGAGATAAGAGCTGAACTTGCTTCTAAGTAAGATATGTGGTGTGAGATGCTAATTTTCCTGAGCCTGGAGTTTAATAATGCTTCATGGAGGAGGAAAAAAATAATAATTCGCTGTGCAATGTCTACATAGAGTTTCTTCGTCAACAATCATTCACACCCTGAATGCTCTCCTAAGGAGACATAGCGGCCAGGATCCTGGGTGGCTGGGAATGCAGCCTTCTTGGCTGAGCAACCTTCTCTTTCAGGGGCTTTCTTCTCACGGGAAGAAGCCTCAAGGAGGGCATTTGATCCCACTATCTAAGAATGCAATTTGTGTGAGACAGCGAAGGTGCACACGCATCGCATGGGGGGAGAAAGTGGGGTGTATTTTTTTTTCGCGCGGGGGGGTATGTTTTGGGATGACGCTCAGTCCGTTTGTCTGCACATGCATACATGATTTAGTGTAAGTGCAGCTTCGCCCCATACTGTTAGAGGGAATGTGATATTAACAAATGTTTGCAATCTCTTGTACAGCTGTAAGCAAAATAATTAACTAATTAAACTAATTAAATGTAATTACAATAACTCATTTTGGGCGTATTGCAGCTGCTTCGCCCCCCCTCCCTATTTGAATTTCCCTGACAGACTCTTGAAGACGTGGGATGATTACTACGTTAGGGCAATAGACATTAAACAGACCCTACTTCGCCAATACCGGGAGAAAGAGGAGCGGGGAGAGCTATTATCTTAGGAGTCGCTGTTCCTAGATCCAAATTTAAACTGAGCAAAATACTGTTTACAAAACCACAGATTCTATTATCTGGGCTTGCTTAACTCGTATTAACTCCCTAAAGACTTTCCCAAGAGGTGGACTATTTTATTTTATTCTGTTGTATTTCCCGGGGGATAAAGTGCTTTTTGCGGTTGTCCTCCTAGACACGGATGCCAAAACGGGGGTTGACCAGAGCGTCCCCTCCAGTATTACTGTGCGAGGCGTGCTCCCACCTTGCTCGCTCAGCTAAAGTCCTCCGAATTTTATTTTATGTTGTTCTTTTTAAACCTCACTGGCTTCAAAGTTTCAACCATTTTTCATAATCAAGAAGCGGCAAGCTGCTTGTGTATTTATTATGTGAAGGAAAACAGGAGGAAATCCCTTAGCAAGATGAAACTAGAGGAGGCCCATTGATACAATGGAACTTACGGAGGGACGAGTTGACCCACCAAATCCCCAGTGGTTCAATGGGCCTACTCTAGTGGCGACTTACTACTCGATTTCACCAATAGGATTTTTGTTTCTTTTTAAACAAAAAATGACGCCCAAGGCTTCCTAGTTTCAAGTACGTTTTGGAACTGGAGAGCCTCTAGCGGTGTAGCTCCAAGACGCGCGAAATCCGGATCCAGGGGCATTTCCTCGGATCCACACTCAACTTGGGAAAGAAGCTCCCACTAAAAATGAATGGAGCCAGCCTCTGGTAAACTTGCCCGGAATGGCGGCCTCGTTTGGAGACCTCCGTAGACGAAGAAAAGGAACGAAACACACTCATTTCGTTACTGCCAGTGCGCTTCCCATATCCTAATGCGTGAAGTTTTGGGCAGAACAACCTCAGGCGTCCTAATTTGGCAAAACACGTGGTCGTCGCTTATGATTGTTCTGGCTCTTCGAAACTCGTGTCTGCCTTGCTTTCTCTCGGGTCGTCTTCCTTAACGGAGGACCTGACTGGCGGCCAGAGACGTGGAGAGAAGAAGGGCCACCTTGCCTTTAGCCCAGGAAACTCGCTCGCTCCCTCAGGCTCTGGCGCTGCCCGCTGTTGACTCCCGAGTCGGTGCCTCCTGGGTTTGGGAATGGCCCAGCAAACGACACAGCCCGACCTTTCCAACCGTAAACGGGGATTCTGGAGTCAGCGTTGGGCAAGCAGCCTTCCTTGCCAGTAACGCGATACAGTATACAGTATTCTACAATCAAAACAGTTGATAAATGAACAGATCGAGAGTTGCGGGATCTAGAGGAACCGAACTCCGTGTAACTACAGTACTTATTGAGTAATGTGGTCAGGGAGCCTGGGGAAGGATAGTGTTATCCCGATGCCTTTTGGTGGCCCGTTCGGGCTCATAGAAGAGAGTCCTAACGAGATTTCTGAATCTCTTGGCTGAATCGTTCAGTCTACATCAGGGATGGGTGAAAGGTAGGGTTTTCCGTGTACTGTTTGACTTCAGTTCCCATGATCCCTCACCACTGGCTGTAGGACTGATGGGAGTTGCACTCTAGCAGCACGTGCGCGTGCGCGCGCCATGTTTATCAAGGAGGGTTGCTTCACATGATTGTCTAAATCATTCCGTCCTTGATAAGCATGGCACGATTGTAACTACAGTATTTTCACCGAGAATTATGCAAGTGGTACTAATAGATGACAGAAAGCAAGTCCCATAGAACTCAGGGAGATCTCTGTCTAAATCAACAAACCCAGGAAGTAGGACGTTTCTTGGATATTCCTTCCACTAAAAGTCACGGGTCTTAACTTTGTAGCAAAGTATCTATTACTGTATATTATACGCTGCCCATTAACTACTCTTAGATTTTAAAGTACTTTTTAAAGTTAAGGATATTCCTCCTCCTCATATATAAAAGACTCACTCGGAGGCATATTCCAAAGGCTATACGTATATATACAGCCTTTCGAATACTGTATGCTGTTTCCTCCGAGTGAGATTTTTATATACGAGGAGGAGGAATATCCTTTATTTAAAAGTATAAATATAGCCTTTGGAATATGCTCCTCATATATAAAAGACTCACACAGCATATTCCAAAGGTTATATATATATATGGCCCACGGTTCTTGAGCAGGTCTTGGGAAGAACCGGGGTGGAAATGGAGCCCCCCCCCAAAAAAAAACCCTATGCAGAAAGAATCGGGAGAGAAGCTCCAGCCAGTATCTTCTGTTAGCATTAAATAAAAAAAGGAGTTACTCTTCCTTTGTACAGAGTTGTCCTCATTTTTCCAGTACAAAAAAAATCCCAGTGACAAAATGCGAAATAGAGATAAATTATTAACACAAATAGCTCATTCTTTAGCGCCTGCTTCTTGAGATCTTTGAGGCCTACGAAAGTAAAGGCGATATCTGTCATCTTTTATTGCCACGTTAGCCCGAGAGTGTGACACCCTCCCTCCACCAGCCCGGCAGAGCTTGCCTTAACAAGCCCGCCCTTCTTTCTCTCCTTGGAATATGATCGCCCCCCTTTTTTTCTTTTTTTCTTTCTTTTCTTTCTTTTTTCTTTTTTGCCTACAATAGCTGTTAAGACACCTGAAATAAGCCACCCCACGTCTTCATCCAAGGCACTGTTAGTGCCACCATATCCGGAGTAAGATACGTGCACGATGGACCCCGGAGCGTGGCCCCCATGAAGTGGTGACATGCGTGGGTGCGTCCCTATCGCCCGCCCCTCCCCCAGTCCTGTTCCAGAAAGACCACTTCACAAACGCGCTCGCCGTTTTTCTAGTCGGGCGGAAGCAAGAGTATTTGCACGCGTGAAGACCTCAATGCCGCCTCAGTGCTAAGCATTTGTCTGTCTGTCCTCTGGTTACGTTCGGTACGTCAAAGGCCAGAGACAAGGCAAACCGGACTCTTCCGTTGTTGGCCGAGTCTCTGCACGCTTATCTTGAGGTTTAATCGGTGGTAAGACTGAGGGCGGTGCGAGCCTAGGAGGTCCGTCCAGGGGTCTACATCCCGTCGGGTCTGCAGTCTTAACCCACTTCCTAGAGAGTAAATCCTGTTAAGCTCATCTTTCGGTTTACTTCACGGTAAACACGCACCGGAACAACCTATTAATCTAATCCTTCCCTGTTTAAAGGCTCCTCCGCCACAGTTTTTTAAATGTCTCTCTCTTGCGCCCTTCCTTCTTCCCTCTACTTATCTCTTAACTGAAGAAAACAGATGGGTTGTCTCGATATT